CCCTCTCTCTCTCTCCCACTCACTTCCGGTCAAATCTCCACTGTCCTATCACATAAAAGGCAAAGCAAAAAAAAAAGCTCCTTTGGCTGTAGGGGTAGTCCTCCATGATGTCCAGCTATTCTTCTGCATAGAAGCTGTCAATAACAGTAGTTTTATTAGCAAAGTCCTCCTCTGAACCCTCAAAGAGACCAAACTGAATCCCCTTGCTGTAGGAAAAGTGAGGCTTGCGGTATATGGGCTAGGGTGAGCTCAATCAGGCCCGTTCATTCAGCCCAGCGACTCCACTGTTTCCTCATCTTAGACTCCTGAGAGAAAGAGAATGGTAGAGCACATGGGGCGGAGCTGCTTTCCTTTGAAAAAGTGGGACACTTGAACACTTTTGGAGCAAGTTTTGAAACAATGTCACTGAAATTATGCTATTAGCTATTTGATTGAAATATGCTCTTGTAGTCATAGCCGCAGCGCTGTTATCACCGTTAATCAGCTGCTGAGGCTTTTCCACAGTGAGCAGAAAGGCTTATTTTTTAAATTTTCTTCAGAGTCAGCAAGGAGATGATCTTTGCACTTAAGGAGAAAGATTTAGACGAAATGGGATTTCAGTGTGCCTTAAGGGGCTTTCGCACAGGAGGAAACTTTTTACAGTTCATAGAACTATTGGCGGAATTATCCGGTTTTTGACGTGTTCGCATCGCAGGAACGATTTTAGTTCTAGGAACTCCATTTGGGGGAACTAAATTAGCTCCTACTTCAGAGTAGAGTCTAATTCAGCACTATATGAACTACCAGTGATGTAAGTGTATGATGAGTGGCCAAACGCACATGAAACACCGGTACCCAGCATTTTTCAAAAGCAACGTAAAGATATTAACCCCACAAACATGAAAAACAGTGATAACAGCATTGACCAGTTGTCTGCAGTGTTGTGTTCTTTTCTCAGCCTTGACGATATGTAACACTTCAAGTTGTCATAGGAGCATTCGTCTCATAGCCCCACTTTCAATCATGTAAATTATGCATTTATATTCCATCCTCATTATCACAAAATCCATGATACACTACAAACACAGCTCCGATCACGGCGTCCTCCATCCACTGGTTGTTGATGTTTGTAAAAGCCGCGCTTAAAGACTCCTCTATCAGCGACTTCAGAGTTTCTACTGCTGGTGCGAATACAACTAGGAAAATGGCACGGTGGGAAAATCAGTTCTATAGGAACTACCCTGCTGGCTAGTTGCTAGAACTGTGCTGTGTGAAAGCCCCTTTATGTAGGCTTTTTTGGTGGTCTGAAATGCCATTTGTCTGTGCAGGTGCACAGATGTGGACAAATCAGGCTTCAGTATTCAGAGACAACAAAGTTATCAGCCTGTGAGATCGACGATACACAATATTATCATGCTAATTTATTTAATTATTTACTTAGTTTCATAGCCGGAAATGAACCAACTGCAGGGTATGGATAAAAGCAGCCTAATGTTAGTGTAATCTATTAACTACACATTGTATCTTTTTAGTCCAGTAGCATATGGATGTCATGCCATAAAATATTTTGATATGGCTGAATTAGTATTTAATATGATAATTTTATATGATAATTTAATAAAAGCATTGTAAGTTACTAATTATAATGCTTACGTTTCTTCAGTTATTCAAACAGCAGGTACAGAAAACAAGCAAAGAACATCTACATCAGGGGTGTCAAACTCAGTTCCTGGAGCGCCACAGCCCTGCAGAGTTTAGCTTCAACCCTAATTAAACACACCTGATCCAACTAATAAAGTCCTTCAGGCTTATTTGAAAACTACATGGTATGTGTGTTGAAGCAGGGTTGGAACGAAACTCGAACTGAGTTTGACACCCCTGATCTACATTATCAAAGAACATCACTGACTTCACTCCCATTATAATCAGTAAAGTAGTGCTGTCAAATGATTAATCACCTAAACATAATACTTATGTTTGCCAACATAAATGACATTATGCGGATGAGTATTTTGGGTGAATCCCCTCAGTGGCCTCTCTTGAACTTGTGACATACTGTAGTGAGGAGAGACTCTCTGTTCAGAAATATTGGCAAGCTATTATTCTGACAACAGCAATCCTCAATATCTTTCTCTTTTCCTTGCTAAAGGCACATTCACATCAAGTACGATAACTATAATGATAAAGATAAAGATATAGTTTTAAAAAATCATTCTAAAAATAAAAGAATAGCAGATTCCACAGCACATATAACGTCAACTGAACAGAGAAATGATAATGATAGAATCTCTTTTATATTGTTGGATTTATTTATTTTTTACAGCTGATGAATGATAAAAGCACTAACAGCCAATCAGAATACATTCTACTTTAAAGAGCTCAAGCATTTAAAGCAGCAAAAGATAAACCTGCAGCGCATGTTTAGACCGAACAGTGCTATCGTTCATTGGTGTGGAGGCTAGCATAGTTACGGTTATAGTTATCTTTATTGTTCTTGGTGTGAAGGGGCTTTAAAGGGTTAGTTCACCCAAAAATGAGAATTAGTCCATAATTCCTAGGTGTCTATGACTTTCTTCTTTCAGACAAATCCAGTTGGAGTTATATTAAAAGTCTTTGATCTTTCAAGCTGTTTAATGGCACTCAGCGGATGTTGCAGTGCATCAGTCCAAAAGAAGTTAAATAAATCGCCCATCCATAAAAATAAAAAGAAAGTGCCTCACACAGCTCCGGGGGGTGAACAAAGGCCTCCTGTAACGAATCGATGCGTTTTTGTAAGAAATATATCCCTATTCAAAACATAATAATCACTTTAATGCAGCTTGCGCCAACAGTTGTACACGGAAGCAGTTCCGGGAGGATGACATATAAGGTCAGCGTTCACCCCTCGGAGCCGTGTGTGGCACTTTTTATTATGGATGGATGCGCTTTATTTCACTTCTTTTGGACTGATGCACTGCAACACCCGCTGACTGCCATTAAACAGCTTGGAAGATCAAAGACAATTTTTTATATTTTTAATAATTTAATAAATATTTAATAAACTCCGATTGGATTCGTCTGAAAGAAGAAAGTCATATACACCTAGGATGCCTTAAGGGTGAGTACTTCATGGGCTAATTTTCATTTTTGGGTGAACTAACCCTTGAATGACGATAAGCTCATATGCTATATGTGTTTGTGTGCTAGTCTGGCGAGTAAACTAAAAATGTACTAGCCAATGGTGATTCTATTGCCAAGGTGTGTATAGAGTAGGGCTGTGAATCACCAGCAAAGTCACGGTACGATACGTATCACGATACAGATGCCACGATACGATACATGACTGCACTGAATTTCACCTCAGCAGAATTTAGAAAAACAGCTGTTTATTAAACACTGCTTACTATAGTGCCATTTCTAACTATTGGCAGAGCAGGCAGTTGAACTCTGCATTATGAAGGGCCTCCATAACTGTACCACAGTACAATATAGGTAATGGCATATGTTTCATGTTTACATTGTGCACTCCCCACCAGGTACAATATTCTGATTGTTTGCATCTTGTTTTTAAACCCATAAATAATAATGTACTTGTTCTAATAAATTTATATTGTAATGTACTCATTCTAATATGTTTAAAAAATAAATTACATTGCTGGTTATCATTGCACAAATGAACACTCTCTGCAATAAAAAAAAAATTAGAAGAGTTCTAAACTAACGCGCTGTCTTCACTGTATCTTAACGCACACACACTCAAGGTTGACAAGGTTGATTTATACTCGACGTGTCCGCAAGTTCGCTTTGAGTGCCGTCATCACGGTGTTGGCGGAAGTTTCGCGTGCGTGGCGGTGTGCACAACATTTTTTGTAACTTTCCGCGCAGCTCCGCTTCCAAAGATGCACTAGTTCAAAGCGACTCTAGCCGAACATGCACGTCTGTGCCAGCATTTGTGTGAAACAAGCAGTTTGATGTTAAGT